ATGAGGACACAGAGAGCAGGAGCTCCAGGCAGGCACTGGATGCCCTTGTCAGGTAAGCCCTATCCTTTCAATCAGCCACCTGCTGCTTCCCACCTCCAAGGGCCCTGTGTGGAACAATACCAGATTAGAGGTTCTGAGGCAGCCTCCAGGCAGAGCTGCCTGGGATGGATGAATACATGGCAACAAACCCATGGGGGTGAGGGCCCGCCGGCTCCTCAAAGGGAGTAAAGAATAGACGGGAATGAATGCACAAGCCTCGGCTCACATACTAATTACCTCTGCTGCCAGCCCTGGCACTCAGAAGTGTGACTCACTCCGATGTTCCTAAATACACTGTGAAACACACCCACCCAAATCACCCCCCCCCCCAGCATACACCACACCACAGGGCCATAATACACCGCACCACACCTCACATATTTACAAACCACACACACACACACACACACACACACACACACACACACACACAGTCTACAGAGGAGCCAGGAGTACCCAGCAGCCCCCAGTCTCCTCCACTGTCCTGAGTGCTGGTTCCACAGAAACTGGTGAGGACGATGTAGGACACTGTGAACGGGAGAGCAAAACTGCTTAGCCCGCGTCTCCCCAAGGACTTCAGAGTCAGACCCCTCCCCCGAAGTTTTAAATCCTACCTTGTTGCTGGGGAGTGGTCCAGCATGCACACGCCACTGGACTTAACCCCGGCACAGAGCGCTTGCTAGCACACTATGACTCTGAGCTGCCGAGTTAACCTTTCTTGCCTCAGTTTCCTCATTTGCAAAGTGAGGGTAATAACAGCACCTGAAATCACTGAGGGCTGAGTGGTGAGGACTGAGGTAACTGCAAGTGGGCATTCACCTGTAATCCTAACATTTGAGAAGCCGAGGCAGGAGGATCTCACGTTTAAGCGCAGTCTCAAATGGGAGGTGGGGGCTGTGGGGTGGCCAAGTGGATAAAGTGTTTGTGAAGAAAGGACGGATTCCCAGAACTCACCTAAAAGTTGGACTCCAGGATTGGCCGGCCTGTAATCCCAGTGCCCGGAGGTGGAGACGCCTGGGGTGGGTTACCAGGGGCAAGCTGCTACCTAGACTAGCCAAATTGGCAAGTTCGACCCTGCTTCAGTCAATAAAAGTGACAAAGAATCTAAAACAGTGTCAACCTCTGTTCTCCATATGCACATATAGCCCAAGCAAACACACACACACACACACACACATACACACACACACACACACACACACACACACACACACGATAACTATACCGTGTAGAACACTAGTTAACGTAGAAAAAATTAAAAGATTGGTAAATGTTCTACTCTCTGCAGTGGTAACTTTTGCCATGGATTTCCTAGGAGGGACTGTTGCCATGGAGGTGGAATCGTGAGGGGGCTCTCCAGTCTGTTTATCTACCACTGCTTTCCAGCCTCTCCCATCATCTGCCACAGCCAACAAACAGGTCCTTGAGGTGGAGGGAAGGAGACCAGTCTTCAGATGGGAACAGGAGCTCTGAGCGTGAGCCTCACTGTCAAGGTTGAACCCGGGCCAGTGACCCTTGAAACCAGCCGTGGCTATGAAGCAGTCAGAGCCAAAGCTGCTGGAGACCACACTCGGGCCTCCTCCTGGGAGGTAGGATCTCCTTCCTCTGGTCCTCCCATAGGGATGGAAAATGTCCCAAACTGCCCTGCAACCCTTCTGACCAGCCTCAGCCCTGGGGCTACCAGCAGGGTTCCAAAGAGAATGTTCTTCCTGCTTTGCCAGGAGGGCAGGAGGGCAGAATCTGAACCAGAGTATTGGGGGGTGTGTGTGTGAGCAGGTGTGTTGGAGGGGGGAGGAGCAAGTTTTCCCAGTCCCAGCAAACTTCATAGCTCAGTACCCAGCTGAATATCTGCCACAGTTTACATCCTCTTCACACTCCAAGATCTCGACAGGAGGGAGGTCAAATAGAACTGTGTGACATTGGTGTTGCTTAAGCTCTCGGAACCTCAGCCCTTCCTCTGTAAGGTGGAGGTGGTTGTGCTGCCAGCTTGAGGTCCCTGTGAACAGCCCTTTGCGCAGAGGAAGCAGGGGGTGCTAGCTCGCTAAGACACTCAAGGGTCCCATTGTCCTGTGGGGACCATGAAGGCAACGAAGTCAAGCCGCCTCGGCCAGAGGCTTCGTGGAATCTACAGACCAAACTAGGAATCCATTTCTCCCAGCTCCTGACCCCAGGGCCTTTTCACTGCACCCCAGTCCGGGCCCCATGTCTGGCATAAGTCCAGGTTGGGGCTGGGAGCCAGGGTCTCTTGAGCTCCAGCATTACACTCTGTCCTGGCCCACTCCCCTGGAGGCCCCCCCCCCCCCCCCCCCCCCCCCCCCCCCGCCTCCCCGTGTGTTTCCTGCTTGGCTAGTTTAAACCGTTACAAAGTTTCCTGACATTAAACTCTTTCCCAGACCCAAAATGTCTGTGCCTCGCTCTGATATCTTTTCCAAGTTAAGAGTGTCATCATCTTCATTACTCTGTGCTGACTAGACACTAGCCTCTTCCCGGAGCTCAACTTTACAGGCCCTCTGAGGTTAGTAAGTTGGTACAGCAAGAACATCAGCTCTATGAGCCATGAATATGCAAAGCAGCTGCGGGGCCTGTAAATAAAAGCAATCATTTAAATGCAAATTGCAGCCTAGGATGCCTGAACCTCAGTGCTAGGATTCTTCTCTGGGTACAGTTCTGAGGCGAGAGCGTGACTAACGGGAAATCCCCAGCAAGCTCCAGCTGAAATGCTACAGAGGTCTTGGACCCTGGGTTGGGGTTCCCTATGGTAAGTAAGACTGTGTGGAAGTAGGAGGTGGATCTTTGAAAACCCAAGCCACTCCTTCAATTAGCTAACGGGGCTCTCTGGGGCTCAGGGCAGTGCCCGCGACTGGTTCCACAGCCCGGACTCCCTACACCACAGCCTGCCTGTAAGCGGCACCAAAGGAGCTGCCTGCTGTCTGTCTCCTTGTGGAGGTCACCGGGGCTCTTAAAACCACACCCCTGTGGCCTCCCGCTGGGAACTCTCCGAGGGTTCAGAATAAATTCAAAATACCTTTCCAGGGCTCTCCAAAGACCAGGATCTGTCCAGCGCCTCCTGTCCCCTCTCGCCTATCCCCACCAATCCGCCCACTCACTCTGGCTACAATGGTCTTTGTGTCTCTTCCCCCAAGCCTATTTCCCACCTCCAACCTCCTGCAGCCTGGATGCCCTTACCCCGATCGCCCTCTAAGTGGAGGACACCCTCTTGCTGGGGTCCGCTTAAAAATTCCATTCGCCTTGTCACCTCGTGCACCAGAAGTCCTGACCACTCTGTTTTCCAGGCAGCCCTGTCCCGGGCAGGTGTTGTACGAGGCGGTATTTATTTGCTCCATTAGAGTTTCTCCGTCCAGGTCTCTGCAGTTCCCCCGCCCCCTACTCTGGGCCCTATTCATTTTATACAAGGCATTTCCTCACCACTCGGTTCTGTGTCCACCACAAGTGTTGAAAAACAAACAAACAAACAAACAAAATTCAGTAAAGATTTAGTCTTTTTTTTTTTCTTTCTTAATAAAGAAAGCCCTCCCTCTTTTGCTGCCTGGGCCCCAAACTGCAGCTCCCCCCGCCCCCAACACTCCATCTTCCCCTCTTCCAGCTCAGCTGACCCTTTTCAGACTTAGAAGCGACGGGATCAGGGAAACAATGTTCACAGTGGAGTTAGAAAACTAGCCCGGAGGAGGGTTTCCAACCAACAGATGCCAATTTGCATTCTATTTACATGCTATTTGCATGCAGTTTAACTCCAAGTGTGGTTATTCCCAAAGCCTGACTGCCCACGAAAGAAACTTAGGAAATAACATTCCGAAGTGCTGTGTGTGTGTGTGGGGGGGGGGGGGGGGGGGTGCCGGCCTCTCCTGCCTCCTCTTGTCTTTGTGGGGGAGCCCCGGAGCTTTCTGGACGCTGCTCAGGTGCCCCCACCCGGGCGCAGTCCGGCGGCCGATGCGGCGCGTGTGCTGGGGCCCCAGGCGGGGACGGTGGTGCCCGCCACACTCCCGGGGCCTTTGTCCCCGTTCCAAAGAGCCGCCCCCTTGGCGAACAGAAGGAGAAGGGGGGAACCGGCTAGGCCTGGGTCTGACGGAGCAAGAACAGGGGGGCAGGCCCTCCGTTTTGGGGCGTCCTCTGGGGCAAGGTCGGTGAGCCGACTCAGAGCTATTTAACCAGCTACAGCCGGCCAAGGAGGGGTGCGGACTCCTGGTCGGTGCTCGCCCCTCCCACCCGGTCCCCGAAAACGTGTGGGTTCTTGCGGGGCTTCGAGCCCCAGTCCCCTAGAAAGCTGCCTTCCTCAGAGGCCCCAGAGCCCTCGCCTGTCCAGAAATCCTTCCCCTTCAGCGTACGCAGCCGCCCCTGGACTTCCAGCCCACCATCCCTCCCCGCCCCCCAGCCTCAGATTTCCTCCCCGTGGTGCCCACCCGCTCGCGCCTTTTCCAGGACTGCGCGGCCGCTGCGGGAAGCAAGCTGGGTCCCCCCAGACCCTGCGGCAGGTGAGGCTTCACGTCTCCAAAGGCCGGCCTTTGCCCCAGGCCAGGTCTGCGTAGTTCACCACCAGCAATCCGCGCTCCTCCCGCACCCCCCCGTCAGCGCCCCCTACCCCGTGACGCCCCTCACAGGGGTCCCTAGCCCAGGGCTGGACTCCCATTTATTCCCAGCTGCCTGTCGCCCGTCGTCACCCCGGACCCTAACCAGAGCCTCGGCTTCTACCTGGTTTGTGGATCCCGCCCCAGATAAAGGTCCCCAAACCCCTGCCCTCGGTCAGCCCTCTGCAGCTCCTCTCCCGCCGCACTGTGGCACCCCTTCAGCCGAAACCCACAGCCTCCCTGCAAATGCACTCCGAGGAGGGAAAAACAGAACAAGCACGAGCCCGGATCCCCTCCGGATCTTCCCAAACCCACGGCGGGAAAAGTTTCTGGGGTCCCCGCGGCGTCCTCCCCGTGCCGGCGCTGGCTGGCACTTACCGACCCTCGCGGCCCCGCAGCGCCGACGCTCCTGCTGGCCCTGGGCCCAAGTCACATCTCTGCAGCGCGCCCGCGGCCCCCGCTCCCTGCACGTCCGCCAGCCGAGCCCGCCTCACTGCATCGCTCTTCCGAGCTGCGACCGCGCGAGGCGCCCCCTGGCCCGGCCCGCGCTGCAGCAGCCGAGGCCCCGCCCCTCCGGCAGGCTCCGCCCCTGCAGGCCCCTCCCCCGTCCGGGTCTGCGGCTCGGCTCAGCCCGGGACCCGAGCCGCAATCCCAGGCGCCTGGGCTTGTTCTGAGCTTTAAGATGCCTTCCTCCTCCAAACCTCCGGTGGCCCCAAATTCGAGGACATCTCCTCCCTGCTAGGAGTCCAGAAGCACAGGAACTAGGTTGAGCTGTTTCCAAAAACATCCTCAGCCACGTACGACGCAATATTCCCGGGGGGGCTTAGCCGGCTCTGCCCGCACACACCTGCAGGCAGTCCAGGACGCTGAGAGGGTCTCCCAGTCACCAACGCCTCGTTGAGATGCACTTAGGCAGGTCCCTGCCAAGCTCATTCCCCGCCCTCTCTCATCCCGCTCCAGCCCCCCTCCCCCTTTCTCTTTCCACGGCTATCCTTGGCCACCCTAAACATGAACGTCACCACGGTGATCCCCTCACGTGGGTCCGGGTGTACGATTGCCACCACCTCTCACACATCATTCCCACTGGCACACATCCTCCACTCTCGTGGGCACACGTACCCGGAGAGCCCAGACTCTTGGCTGTACTCTGCACTGACGCTCAGGGCACAGATCCCGCCGGTGCCCACGGGGCGGGCATCGGACACACATGCAGGAGCGGTCAGGTCGTCCCTCACTTTTTCTTCCACCTCTGCTTTCTCTAGGTGAGACCGCCCCTCCTCAGTCCAGTCCGGTAGACGCAAAGACACGAACCCTCTCCCCCTGGAATGAGAACAGGGATATGGCTGCAGAATAAACGCTCCTTTTAGCGGTAGTTGCAGCTTCTGAATCTGGGGGATCACGAACTTTTAGGATACCCGCATCTCTTCCCCAGACTCTGAAAGTCCGTCTCTACCAGTCTCTTCAAGTCGGGTTTTCTCCGGGTCAGGCCACGTACAGTTTGGCAATACGTCTCTGAGAATATCTTTTCTTTTTAAGGTCACGGTTAAAGAGACGTATTCCTAGCGCAGAGCCTTTATCCCCTGTCTGCGGGGAGGTCCCTTCGCCAGGAACCGGAGACAGTAGGAGCTCATTAAATCTCTTTCAGATCAAGGTCTTCCCAAGTCTGTGCTGGCCAGACTGCGGAACTGAAGCGTGGACGGGCACTGCCCCCTGATGGTGCTTGGTGGACCTGGCGTCGACAGCTTCTAAAGATGGGCTCACCTTCCTTTGAGGCTTCCTCTGCATAACCCGTACTGTTTTAATACAGGCGCAGTGGCGTGTACCGGGACTCGGCACCCTCCAAGCTGCCCTGTCCAGCCCTGGAGCCCTTTCCCGTAGGCTACTGCCACTGCGCGGTTGAGCACGGTTTTATTTTTGCTTAATATAGGCAGTGTATGGCTAGAAGTGCACAGTGCCTCTTATGTTCAAAAAAAACCATTCCTGGGTGGGGGTGGGAGCTCTCTCTTAGTGGTAGAGTGCCTGTCTAGCGTGCGGGAAGCCCTCGGGTTGGTTCCCAGCACAACAGAACCCGGGTGTGGGCATGGACAGCTGTAATCCCAGCAGGAGACGAAGGCAGGAGGGGCCGAAATTCGAAATCATCCCCAGTGACGCAGGGGCCGGTTAGACTCTGTCTCAGGGTGTGGGATGCGGGGTGCGGGAGATTTGTGTGTTATGTTCATCCTTGTCCCGTGTTCGTCCCTGTCCCTCCCCACCAGGAGGGGCGTGTCTCACCAAGTATTTGTTGAGCAAAAGAACAATTAAATTCCAGCTTTGCCTTCCCATATAAGGCATGTCTTCCTTTACTCTGCGAGCAAGTAGACCCCCGCGCCTCCATGAATTTGTTGCTTCGGAGTTGCCATCTATTTCCGGGGACGTGTGCTTTTATCCTTGGGATTTCTGGAATCGTCTGTATCTTGAGTGTGACAGGCAGAGGCTTGGAAAACTGGGGGCTTCTTTCCTGGCCCTGTCAGGGGGTGGTTGGGACAGAGGCAGGACTCAAACCTGGTGAGCTACGCCTCCCTCCCTCGCAGGTGATATTTCTGGAAACATCGAGACCCTCCTCCGAGAAGTGTCATGAAGGTGGGGGTGGGGTCAGCCTCCTGAGAGATGTTTTCACTGTCTGTTGCGTTTGGATGAGAAGCAAGCATCCTCTGTAGGGTCCTGTACACGTTTCCCTGGTGATGCTCGTAGGAAGAGGTTATGGAGCCTTGGAGGGTGCGTCCCTGATGGAGGAAGATGTCATGGGGTGGGGGGGCAGATTAGAGAGTTTATAGCCTCACCCCATTTCCGTCTTGTTCCCTCTGCCTCCTGTGTACAGCTGAGACATGACCTCTCAGCTTCCTGCTCCCATGGCCATGCTTTCCCCACCACTTAGTCCTCTGCAACCACAAGCCAAACAAACTCCTTCTCTTTCAGTGTCTCGGTCATGGTATTTTGCTAGAGCAACAGAAAAGTAAATAATTCAGTACTCCCCCAATTGTTCTGGACACAGTGCTCCAATGTCTGCTAGGTACCGGACTCTGTGCCAGCCACTGCTGGAGGCTTAGGGCTAGACACGAGATCTTGCTCTAGGCTGCCATGTCTTTGAAGGAGGCTAACTTGTCTCTCTTGCAGGCCTGAAGGGAGGCTAACTTGTCTCTCTTGCAGGCCTGAAGGGAACCTTGGCTGGGTTAAAAGAAGCCCTGGCTTCGCAGGGACTTCGACACTTGATCTGGGCCCTGGAGTAGAAATGGGCACTTCCTGTCATGCTCATCTCTGGATTCAGCTTTGGGGTGAACAGCCAGGTGCATTGACCAAGCAAACTTGAGATATGGCAGTGTTCCAGTGTTCTGTGCCCACGGCAGACACAGCCAGTTGATGCTGTTTTTCATGGGTTCTTTTGCCTTTTGGTCTGACTTTTGTTGCCCATTATACATTAGAATATTTAGACACTCTAGAAGGATGGTCCTGGAGATATGCACAAATCAGTGTCACTACGTGGCAGCAATCCAGTTTGGCTTTTCTGTATCAATTCTCATGTGTCCACCAAATGGTGTGGAGTAAACTGACCACAGCCTTGTGGTCCTCTGTGAGGCCACCATAGAGACTTTTACCCAACATCCCCTAGCTGTCAAGAAACACCTAAATAACATGAAAATTCCTTTGGCCTAAATGATAGAGATTTTAGCTAGCATACAAGGAGTTGTTGGTGATCTAAGAATTGTTTTATTGCTTTATAATAATAAATAGGACCCTTTCCAACCTCCTGGTTTGCCATCCTCCTGGTCACAAAATGGCTGCCATAGCACCAGTGTTTTACATGACAATTTCCATACTTGAGAATGGTGGTCATGGCAGAAAGCTTTCCTTGGAAGCCTCCTCGTTAAGCTAAAATTCCTAGATCTGTCCCCAGCACTTCCACACAAGGTGTAGGATTCCTCTTACATTTCCTTGATCACACGAGGGTAGCCTCGCCTCCTAGGCAACCAAAGGCGGCTAGAAGAGAGCACCTGACACAAATGACTCTATCTCTTGTTTTTTCTGGAACAGCGTTTCTTGTAAAAAGGTTGGCTTTGAACTCCTGATTCTCCAGCCTCCATCCCCAGAGTCCTACCCAGGGAAGTGCCTTTCAGCTTCTGAGTATCACTGTAGCCCAAGAGAGCAAACCAAACCAGCCTGAGCAGCACGCACACAGGCCCCTCCCTCCAGCTCAAAGAGAGTGAACCCCCCCCCCCCCCCACCCCCCCCCCCCCCCCCCCCCCCCCCCCCCCCCCCCCGCCCACGGCCGGCGCGCCCCCCCCCCCCCCCCCCCCCGTGCCGTCCAGGCCTGGTCCTCCTTCATCCTCTGTGGAAGGACTCTATGTTGCTGTCTGTCTCAGTAGGTCTCAACTTTTACCCTTTCACTTGCAGATAGTGTCCTAATGGGTTCCATAGTAATGGGAAGAGGGACTGCCTCTGACATAATCTGATTGGCCTGCTCTTTGATCACCTCTCCCTGAGGGGTGAGCAGCTTTACCAGGCCACAGAAGATGACAATGCAGCCACTCCTGAAGAGGTCATGTAGACTAAGATCAGAAGGAAGGAGAGGGGGACCTCCCCTATCAGTGGACTGGGGGGGGGGCAGGGGGGAAGAAGGGGGGGGGGGGGGGGGATTAGGAGGGGAGGAGGGAGAGGTTTATGGGGGGATACAAAGTGACTAAAGTGTAATGAATAAAAGTTAAAAACAACAACAACAACAACAAAAAACCCCTCGCTGTCTCTTTAGGGACAAACAGTATATAAGACAAAGAACTGCTAGGATTGTGGCAATTCTGTCTTAATTTGTTTATATCTTTATTTAGAGTCAGGACTTCATGTATCCCAGGCTGGCCTTGAATATTTTATGTGGCTGAGGATGACCTTCAACTCTTGATCTTTCTGCCTCCAGCTCTCTAGCTCTGGGACTCCAGGGATGCATCACCCCGACTTAGGTTGTTTATTTGTAGACCTCGGTGGGGATTTCAGAAGCCTCTGGACTGTCTGTGCTCATTCAGTTATCAAGTTCACGGCGGTGTTGGCTTCAAGGTCAGGAGAAGCCAGGGGGTACAGGACAGCTGGCCAGCCGAGGGCCTCCATCCTGTCACCTTTCACCTGGGCATCATCTCTTCAGCTTTGTCCAGGTAGCTCACTCGGTGATGTGCCTTCAGATCACCTGGGGGTCTTGACTGAACACACACTGGTTGAACAGGATGTAGTGAGCTCTGAATTGGAGACATTATTGGGCTGCTGGTACCCTGACCACAGGGTAGCAGGGCTAGAGACCAGCTGTTTTCAACCCTAGGGGCTCAAGAGATCTCCTGGCTTACAGGTCTGGGGAGATGTCACAGTGCAGTAAGTTCTCGCTGTGAAAGTATGAGGACCTGGGTTCAGACAAACTCATAAAGCTAGATGTGGGGGCACATGTGGGGGAGGGAGGTGGAGACAAGAGGGTCCC